GGATGGTTATGATTATTAAGAAAACTGAGTAAAAAATGAGTTAAGAAAACTCTTTATCAAAAATAAAATTGATTATAACTAGAAGACACGAAGTTTCGAAGTGTCTATACGTGGCTAAAGTAGGAGAAAAATTATGTGATTACTATTTATAAACTTACAAAATTCTTTTGTTTCGTTGATTTTTTCTATAAGCTTATTCCGTCTAATATGCATATCATGAAAATCATATAAAGAAACATTATTCCCGATTTAATATTATCGGCTGAAAAAGGGTTTAACATTAACCATAAAAAGTTAAAAACCAATTAAAAAGTTATAGAATATAAAAAAATATCATAAAAATCAGAAACCATATTTATAATTAAGCTCAGTTCCTCAAGTATTAGTTACGCTCATCGACAAAACCGTACACACCAGAATCAACTCCATTTGAAAGACAGACTCGCGATATGAGGATAGCGCCTAGTAATTAATCTGGTCAGTAGTCATTGGCATTCTGAAGTATCAAATTATATATGTATTTTAGTTTAAAGCTTTCAAACTAAAAATGTATTAGATGTAAAACTTGTTGGATATAATTCTACATTAATCTCGTACAAAATAAAAATAAAATTAGAAGTCGGTATGGGATTAGTAAAAAAACTGTCTTTCTTAAACGAGAATCGAACAAATTAACTTTTTGGAAAAAAATTAAAACGCGACTAGACCAATATGTACTTCTATGTTCAAATTTCTCCATATATCATGCACTGTACAAATTCTTATTTCATTTTTTTCTGGCCGAGGATATATTTATATGTTCACCTACAAAACATACTTGCGTTCAAAAAAAAAAATAACATAACGATAAAATCATATCAAGCTACCACAGAGGAAATGACATCATATATGCCCATGGTAATAGTTCGATAAAAGTATAATTTTCTGTTTGTTACATAAATGCTAATTGGCATTTTCTATCAAGTTGGTATAAAAAAACGTTTTTTATTCTTTATCTCGTAGAATTTATTTTTTGATGAAAAGGTTTATTATGCTTATATAATATGATTTTTTTTTTGTTCAAAATATAATATGATTATATATTCAGATTCAGGGGGACACCGACCAACATGTGGTTATGCTTTAGGGCACAAGTGTGAGTCTCTTTTGTTTGTTTATCAACGTGTGAACAATAATCATTTGTGTTTCACCCGCCCGCATAAAATTCACTTTTTTAGTTAATGTCCATGCACAAAGAAAACCTTTGTTGCTAAAATGAAAAGTTGTCCCTAGATACTTAATCTTTTAGAAACATGCAATTATTACTTTTGAATGTTCAATACTATACTTAAAAAATCAGAATATTTTATCAGTTTATCTGTTTCGGTATTGTTCCACAATTTTATTGGAGGCTGTAATTCATTTGCCTCTGTTATCGTTTCAATTTTTTTATAAAGTTAGTTTGTTCTACATTTTGGTCCATATATGTTTTCAGAGAACGCTTACGATATGATAATATATACAATCGAAATTGACTGGACAGTACGTTTATTTTTTTTAAGACAATTTTATTATTCTTTTGCTTTTCACCCCTTTATGGGATACTGTTTGAAGAAATTACAAGAGAACAGATTGACGAAAAAAGGGAAGAAAATTAAAACTCGCAAGAGAGCAAAATATAACTGTTGGTGCACGATATCAAATACCCCATGCGTTATTTAGTGAAGTTAAAAAAAAATGTCGATATTTTGTTTAATTCCTACTTCGATGTACTAAAAATAAATTATACGTTTTATTCTATACATTGCTCAACTCACTTCCATGCAAATCGCTACTGTTTAAAATTTTACTGTGTTATTTCAATATTAATTATCAAAAAGATATACGTAGATGCATTTTGTGATATAAGTTACCGTACAATTCTTATAAGGTTACCCACATGTATCAATTATTTGTTTAAATGGGGTATTAGAATTTGAAAAAGATATTGAAAATCTTCAATCAGTTAAGGTTTAGTCCGGGATTTGGACTAAAAAATTGGGGAAGGCTTCACAATAAGAGAGGAAGAATTTGGATTTGGACTTAAAATTAAATATAAAAAGAAAGAGAGAGAGAGAGAGAGAGATGAAGAAAACCCTAGTTTAGCTAGCGTATATAAACGATCTCTGTGGTCCTGAAATTCTCAAATCTTGCAAGACTTCTAGCTAGACTTTGTTCGTCTAAATATCATAGATATGTGGTCCTGCACTGTGACATGTACGGACAATATACTTACATGACAAATAATATTGTGTCTTTCTGTAAGAGATGATAGGTTTAGATGATGACGTAATTGGTAAAATCACTACATATATACATCGATTTTCGGGGTTTATAACCTTGAGACTTATATGTATTCTCTAGGTCCAAAAGAAAATACTCTAGGTCATACGTAATCTGGCTGTAAAAGAACTTTATAATAGACGATAAAAACATGTATATTTATGAAGGAGTATTTTTTTTCTTAGTATTATTACTTCTATTTTAAAACTATAATCTTATTGAATTAATATCTATTTTAAGACGATCTTTAATTCCCTTGTTAAAAAGGTGATCTTACTATTTTGAGAAAGAGTTCTTCGCATCTAACATGACCTGCCTCCTTAATCGATCTAGTCTCTGCTTCTAAAAACATATATCTCCTTTTCTGAATGCCTTGACCAAGAAATTGGTTGTACCATTGCTATAAGAAAAAAATGAGCTAAACGCAGGTAAATCACAATTACATTTTTTAACTATAATTATCATCATAACGACGTAGCGAAGAAGGTTTAAACTAATCATGATATATATATTATGATATCCGTTTATAGACTTGAAGAAATTCATTATATATATTTACGAGAGCCCTGCTTTCTATGTAAAATATTGTATTGTCGAAGACTTAAGTTTTAAACTAACGAAGCTGACATATGGAGTTGGGTTTTGTGGATTTGTCCAGTGAACTTACAGATCACTTCAGGAGATGTATTAAAAAGAAATACCCAGGAAATAGACAAAGAGAAAATGGAGGAAGGGAACAAACAAACTACAATATGTGGAACATTAATTATTTATTAATAATTACATGCATGTATCCTGACAAAAGCCTACAATCATCTCTCTCTATTTTTCCATATTTTAAAGAATACAAACGAAATATCTATACATCTTCTTTTATTTTGCTGTGAAGATAAATTTGTTTGAAGAATATCGACAACCTTAAGGATAATTTCTCACAAGTCACAATAAATATCCTCTCACACATTCATTGGCTTTAGTATTCATAATAGATACTATTTTCTATATTTATATAGATTTATATAAAGCTTTGTTATTAACTGAAGAAATAAAATTATTTGTGTATTAATGAAGGCTATAGTAGATTGATTCATATTCTTTTTTTATATTCATATTCTTTTTTTTTATCCAACGTCGGTAGTTCAACCGGTAAATTATTTGGCCACCCAAAGAATTTATAAATTTCGAATTTGAACACAGGCAACAAAACTGAAGCTAATTTACTTGAAAAAAGAAAAAAACTAAGATTCACCTACAATTATGACTTTTCTTTCCTATATAGATAAAATTGGTATATTTTGACTAGAAATGCCAATTAACACAGGGTCTCGGGGAGTACTTAGACAACGTCGACTAATTAAATAAATTTCCATTAACAAGAGCAGCAAATGGAATTGGTGCAAAACTGCAAAACATATACCAGATATACGGCGCACATGATTCAAAAATCAATATTCTGTAGTGTTTTTTCACTTACAAAATAAAATTTTAAGCTGTTTCAAAGTGACTCTGATGTGTCCCGCACTTGAATGCTTCGCCATCACAAAATGAGCCAAAAGGCTAAAGCTCTAACCTTTTTATTTCAACTAATAAAAACAATGTAATGATCAAATAATAGCTAGGCAGATTCATGCATTAACTATATATGTTCAGTTCATCCTAAAATTTAATTACATGCTAAAGTTATAATTAGTCATCATTAGCCGGCACTATGTTTGGCATTTGTGAAGACAAATGGCAATGTTGTTGTGAAAAGGACATGTGAACCAAACAAAGACAACATCTCTCCTAATGTCACACACGAGCACAAAACATCACTATCCATTTTTAATTATTACTATTATTGTGACTAGATTCTAATTAAACTCTAGTTTGTTATGCCCATTTTTTTCTACTTATGTACGCGTGTGTAAGTGTCCATTAAAGGGAATATCGGAGATACTTTACAGCACTTTAAAGGAGAGTCGAATTTGAAGTTCTCTTATCTTATTAAAAAAACTGTTATACATTACGGCCTTAGTGAGACTTATTTGTCGGATCTGAACTTTACTTATTAGTGTTTCTAACTTTATTTTTTATATACTATATATTAATTTTAAGTGCCCACTCCTAAAAAAATACAACCTTATTAAAAAAATAGGTACCTAGTCCAAACAACTCTATACATGATAATAGTTAAAAGGGCTACCTAGTCCGAACATTAATACTTTAATAGTACTACTTGATAGGATATTGTCGTCTAGAAATGTGAATGTTCATACTTAATTTGGGTCCTTTCCAGAAAATGTGTTCATATAGTGATTTCAATTTTATGTATACAAGGTAAAGAGGCCCATTTGTTTGGGCACAAGGAGGCCCATGTATTGGGCAAAAAAGAGGCCCATTTAAAGATTGTATTACGTAATTTAAAGATTTAGGCCCATGATCCGTATGCAATGTTGTAGACTTGTAGCTGACATTTATAAGTCGGAACAATTGTAGATTTTCTTTTTACAGCCAAATAATTAAAGAGTACGTTTGTAAGAGCAAATCCAATTTTAAATATTTTGTTTCAAAGGAAATCAAAATAGCAACTCGAACACGTCACAATTATTCACCCAAATTTGAACCAACATAACATATACAGTATATACGCAATAATCAATAAAAAGAAACAATCAAACAAACAACGAGGAATCAGATAATAAAACATACAAAACAAGTTAATTGTCGTTGAATGCCCAACAATTCGTTCTGATCTCACCATCTTCTCCGGTAAAGATATCAACGGCTCCCATTTTCACTATCGCGATCGCAAACTGGCGTTTAAATAAGTCGTTGTCGGCTGCGTATTGAGCCACCACACTAGAAGTTGCTTCGTCGGTCGCGAGCCGTTGGTCAAGTTGCAGAACCCCTCTCCTCAGTCGGATTTGTCCGAAGAATGCATTATCGAAGGTCAATGGCGTTGACCGGTCAAGTCCTGTTGATGGGTTCTCTGAGGCCGCACATATAGTGGTTAAACTGTATAAATAAAGTTTTAAATATCGATTATAAAGTGTGTTCATTTTTTTCGTCGCTTATATATATATATATATATATATATTTATTCTATGGTTTATAGGGTGTTTAATCTGCTTAGACTATTATTATATTTAATCAGCTAAAATTAAACTGTCCTAATCAGCCAGAATCAAGCCAAAAATATATATTTAATAACAATAAATATGTTTTGATTTGGTAAAGTAAATTTATTTTTAGATCATTATAAAAAACACAAACGAGATCCGATTTCAAAGTGATTCGAAAAATAAAATAAAAACTGTTCTAAATCCAAAACTGAAACGGTACTAACGGTCTAAAATATATTCGGTTATACTTTTAACCATTCATATTGTAAAATAAATAAAATAAATAAAATGGACCCGAATAAATCAGAATTATGTAATTGATATATAACAAATCCGGTCTAACTTACTTTGCGACCAAACCGGAGTCCATGGACGGATCGGGTAATCCGGTTCCATTAAAATTCATGAGCCGGTCCTGGAATAGATCACAAGATCCCACACCAACCGTGTGTGCACCCAAAAGAGCCACCGCATCGAACGTGTTCATCAGTTTGTCCCCAAAGAACCTGAGAAACGCAGCAACGGAGGCGGTTGGTCCGGGAAGGTTGAACACGCCATCCGCATTCGTTGCCAACCCATCACGTCGCCCTGTGGGGATGTTGTATCTTGGACCTCCAGCTAAAGCCACAGAGTCACGTGTGGCAAGGGCCATTATGTCGGCGCATGAGACGTTGGAGGGACATTGAGCCTCAAGCTCGGCCTTGATATTGTCGATCAGCTCAAACCCTCTCACGCTTAAGTTTGGACCGACGAATCTTTCCGAATCTGTCGAGTTTAAGAGGATAGAACCGTCGCAGCCCTAGGAGATACAGCTAAAATGTTATAAGCATATATGATATAATTAATTAATCGGTTTAAAATTTAAGATCATTGTGGCAAATTTATGTATATGTGCTAATCTGGTAAAGAGTACTTAATTTCTATGTGAAACACAAACATATTACGACGGAAAAAAATTGTACGCGTTGTCTCGTTTTTATGTTTTAACGCTCGGAGTTGATGCCAAAACAAACAAAAAAAGTTTCCACACTCAAAATTAAATTACTCTCGACAGATCCTAATGTCACTATACGGGTTTTGCAATTAGATTAAATGTTCGACGAGAATCATACCCCAACAAAACAGTCGTGAAAATGCATCCGAAGCAAAGCGGCCGTAATTGTGGGGTCACTCTCGAACTCATCGCTCACGAGATTTCGAACGATCGTTTCTGCACCAGGGCATGAATTGTTATAAAACCCAACCTTCAGTTGAGCAAACGTGACCGGAAGAGTAAAGAAAAATATGAGTAGAATAGATGAATTTTTAATCTTCATCTTGTTTTGTAAAAAGTTATACTTAAGCAAATGTGTTATTTGGTTTGGAATATGTGTTAATGTACATTTGAGATCCACCCATACTTACTATATATACCCCAAAATCGACCGTCGGTACGTAATATGTTCTTATAGAGGAAAATTTCATACGTGTAAGTCAAATGTATTATAACTAAGAGTGGTAAATATATAAACGCAAAGCGAAACATTCCGTTGCCTTATGGAATATTTAAGAAACACTATGTGGTGAAAGTTGTTGATGTAGTAGCTAAGTCGATAATAGTATTTATGAACAAATGTAGATATCAACGGAATTTTGTATGTTGTATAGTCGGTGAGATGTATGTTTCAACTTTAGTTTAAAAATTCCTATTTGGTCGAAATCATCTTTTTTATATAGTATATATATTCACTGTAAAAATTTTGTGATTACGTATAAATCTTGATCGGAAATAGTCAGCTGAGTGTTTTTTCGTCGTTCTTTCTAAAGACATAGTCAGCTGCCGGCCCTAACATTTTAGAGGCCTAAAGCAAATTAATGTAATTGTGGCTTTTAATCTTTATATTTTAGACTATTTTGTTTTGTTTAAATTGTTGATACTATGTGATAAGTTAAACCAAAAAAAAAAAGTTATATATGTGATACACAAAACACAGATCTAGATAGAATGCACTATTAAGTATTAATTAAGCTATAATAGTAAGCTATTTACTGGTTTGATAAATTGCGCATTGATTAATTACAGTTGCAGTTGCTGCTAAATACATATACATCCATTTTGCATTGCGATGCTTCGATTTTGAGAAATGAAAAAAAAAAAATTAGAATATGTATGTGAAATTAGTAACCTAAACGACACATTAAGAGTCTGAGAGTATAATTGGTTTTAGCCCTTATATTGCTATATACGTCGCATATTTCTCTGTTTCATCGTAAAAGGAAGTATGTGTATGTATATCAATGATATCTCTCTATATGGCATGTGGAGTATTGTTGAGACTTGAGAGATTAATTGGGTAGGACCCCGTGCTTGTTACTGGGAAGTTGGTTCTAACAAAGTAACATGTTAAGTCAAGTGTGTGTACACTGGAAATGGTTCTTTTTGTCTGTTACTTCTCGCTCAAGTTAATTAATGATTTTATTTGGGTTTTGACTTTTGCTTCCAAGTGTTGCCTATAAATCAATTTGGAATCCGGTCAACTCAAAAGATCCAAATTTCTCTATTTTTTTAAATAATCGGAATGATCCGAAAATATCAGGCATGAAATAAATAAATATGTACGGACACTCTAAAGTTAGTCTGGACTGAAACCAGCTCAAATGCATTCAAAATTCACTCAAATCTGGTTCCAACATAACATATTGTTGTTATCAAATCATTCACCAGATCTTATTTTTAGAATATACATATATATATATAGTTATGTAAACAAACAATCACCACCATTCACAATTCAGCAGAAGTAAAAAAGAAAGCACAAACAATTCAAGAATCAGATTTTAGAAACGAGTTAAAGAGGTTTAGTTGAATGCTCTACAGTTTCTCCTGATCTCACCGGCTAAGCCGGTCAGAACGTCAACGGCTCCCATTTTCACCATTGCGATTGCGAACTGGCGTTTGAATAGTTCGTTATCGGCCGCGTACTGAAACACAACACCAGAAGTGGCTGGGTCGGTCGCGAGCCGCTGGTCAAGTAACAAAACCCCTTTCCTCTCTCTGAGCTGAGCGAAGAACAAGTTGTCGAATGAGAATGGCGCTAATGGCGTCGACTGGTCCAATGCCGCAAATTGACTGCCTCCAGCCGCACATGTGTTCCTTAGCCTATTACGAGAAATATTTACTAGCTCTAAATTGATTGCGTATAAATATATAAAAATAAAAACATATACGTCAACCTATTTTCTCAATTTAACACATTTTCAAGCAAGTATTTAAATTTATATTTTGTAAAACATTTCATATTTAATCTAGCTAGGTTTAAACATGAAACATACCTGCCAGCCAAACCGGGGTCCATAGAGGGATCGGGCTGTCCGGTCCCTTGAAAATCGGTGACCCGGTCCACAAAATTACCACAAGATCCGATCCCAACCGTGTGTGCACCCAAAAGAGCGACCGCATCGAAGACGTTCATCCCTTTATTCCCGAAGAACGTAAGCATATCTGAGACGGGGAGGCTTGGTCCGGGGAGGATTCTTAGGGCATCTGCAGGGTTCGACACAAAGCCATCACGTCGTCCGGTGGGGACCGTATAGTTCAGTCCTCCACCTAAGAAGACGGAGTCACGTGTGGCGAGCGTGACTATGTCGGCGCACGAGACCGTTGAGGGGCATTGAGCCTCGAGAGCCGTCTTGATCTCGTCGATCAGCTCGAACCCTCTCACGCTACCGTTTGGCCCGGCGGTCTTTTCCGAATCTTGAGTCGTTGGGTCTATGAGGAGAGAAGCGTCGCAGCCCTAAGAGATGTCAACCAGAAATCGTTTTTAAGAAAACTACAAAAATGTAATTAATTCATTTATGTATTTTTGTAAGTTACGTAGATCAACCTAATATATAGTCCAAAAGGTAAAATAAATGTTTTTAAAACTTTATTCTGCGTTTTGTAAATCAGGTTATGTATATATCTTATTGTAAAAGGTTTTGCTGGGTTTTTAATTCAACGGAGTAATTTTAGCGAAATTATGTTCATTGATTAGAACCAGAATTATTTGACTTTAAAAACAGAAATGAAATTTGTAATTTCGAAAAAAAAAAGAATAACTCGATAGTAAAATAACTTTTTGCCTAGTTCTCTTTTATTACATCTCTTATACATAGAAAGATATAGAAACTAAAAATAGACGTTGAATGAGATTCATACCTGAACAAAGCAGTCATGAAAATGCATACGAGTCAAAGCGGCGGTGATCGTTCGATCACGGCCGAACCGCTCGCGGACCAGGCTCTGTACAATACTTTCTGCATTAGGGCACGATTGGCTGTAAAACCCTACTCTGAGCTGCCCCAATGCGACGGGAAAAATATATAAAATTAGGAGAAGAACAGAAAATTTTGCAATCTTCATCTTGTTTTGTGGAAAGTGTTGCGATGTAATAGTGTTGATTCTTATGGGATGGCTTATGAGACCTTTTAAATCAAGCATTACTATATATATACGCCAAAATGGACCGTCTATAAAGAATACTATTTATTAAGAGGAAATTAATACATCTAGTATATATGTGTCGAACAGGTCCGTCAAATTTATTTAAATCAAGAGAACTGAGTCTATATGTAAACCCAAAGGCGTAAGTAGCAACTACTTTGAAACATTCCGCTCTCTCATTGTATATTTAATTATTTACATACGACATATATACTGGTAAATGAGAAACAGTGTAGCTAGGTGATGTTAAAGTTTATTTTATGTGGTGAATACAACTTTAATATTTTCCAACTATTTGTAACTTATAGACAGGGCTAGATATCTTTTTGATGAATATACATGACTACTATAAAAATTTATATGGTGATTGTAAGTTTTGGAAATAATTTGTATTTCCCTACGGGGGAAATGAAAGCAGAATTCCACCAAACACATTTTTATGTTACTATGTTAGTAAATTGTATGAGCTAAGTGCTCTCTAAAACTACTTCTTTTAAGAATTAGATTTATTGAATTTTCTTGAGTTATACGAGATAGAGTATAGTTTTGGACGAATCTTGTTACTAATGTATGTTTGATCTATGTATATTAGTCAACGACACAGAACAATCGGATTTAAACGCGTAAGTTATAATATAATTAACAATTAACAAGTGTGCTAATTTAGAAGAAGATAAAGGAGCTATCATGACGTAAATCAACATGGAGTTAATCTAATGCAATGCAAAGACTCGTTCTTAATTTCCTAGAATGAGATTTTTCTAATTGAAAAGAGATTATAAAAAATTCAAAAAAAGAAAAGGCTTGACGAAAGCAACATTGGGGTTGATATTGTGAAATATAAGACCAAAGCATCTTTCGTGAAGATTTGTGTAAAGAAGTTGTCGTTAGAAACAAAAAATAACCCTATCATACCAACTACAATTAGTTAATTACAGATATTGGAGTAGATAAGGTTTAAAAAGTATATTCTTTGTTTTATTTAATGGAAATTCATTTCGTTTTCAAGAGATTGTTTTCTAAAATAATTTTATTTGGGTATGTGTATGCCGTAAATGGCTCATTCTCTTTTATCTACTTACTCGAATTTTGTGATCATGTCATATGTGTGGGACGATAACTTGCTTATGCAAGTGATGTACACTGTACACATACCTTACGAATCATCGTTACTGTAAATTGGTGTAAGACGGATTTATGGCTTTTAATTTGTTTAATGATCGTTATTGTAAAATGGTTATGGTGTAAGACGGATTAATGCGTTTTTAATTAGGTTAACTTTTTTTTTTTAATGTCAACTGCAGCTTCTACCATTGGAAAAAGTAGAAGAGAATCATATTATTAGATATATTCATCCAATTCATCAAGAAGTAAACATACGACTCGCCTTTCCTGACCACGTGAACCAATCAGATCCATCGCTGAGCTAAAGCCCGCTCGTTTGATATACTGAGCTTAGTGGGCTACGCATACTTAAAATCTTAAGCTGTACTGGCGCGACCCGACCCGATCAAATCTGATCCAAAGATTTCGGTTTAGTTTTTGGTCCAAAGAAACCCGAACTTAAGTAACTCGAAAACCTAACAAAATTCAAAATTCATCTTTTCATGAAAGCCCGCATTCGAAAACAAACAAAAGAATTATAGTTTTATACGAAAATATATACCGTTAGAAAAACATATCTGACAAAGACCTATGCGAGGCAACATGGAAAACAGTATTATAAATAAAACAAATACAAATGCCTTTTAGCAGAAAGAAAAACAAATGCAGGAGGAAAGTTATATATATAGAACAGGTTTTCTGTATTTTATTTATATATTTTTTCATTTGAAATATACACTGTTTCTCTGCCGCTGCAAGAAACACGAAAACAAAGCAACGTTCATTTCTGCAGAGAGCATCAAGTAAGCATACTAAAAGTAGAGCAACTTGAGGTATTTCATATTTTAATAATTGATAAACGTACTGTGCCACATTAAAAAAAAGGTGATAAAGGTACTCTCATCAATTTATAATTAGTAAAGAGATTAAGGGGAACACTATCGGTAAGATCATCTTCATGCCAAATCATCAAGATTCTCTGGTGTTCTTGTTCCGAACATCTTTGTTCAAATTTAATATAAAATCTCGTTCTACTAAGTTAATTTGCTCTAAATGAAAGCTTATCCCATTAAGGCAATGGGATTAATTTCATAATTATTGTTGATCGTATATATGAAACATAAAAGGGGGTCAAAAGCAGGTGCACTCGTAGACTTTGACAAAAAAAGGGTACACTCGGAGAAAGTGAGACATCAATTATATTTTTGCTATGTATTTATGCTTGTATAAGAAGATTATGTACGTATACAGTATATATACTATATAAACGTCATAAAATGTTCGTCCGAAATTTTTAATCGTATATATTAATTCGATAAGATATACAGAATTCACGTACCGGGTTTCAAAGGATTGATAAGATTCGTAGTGAACAAGTACTTCCAAAGTTTCGCTGAAAATTATAATAAAAAGTACTGTACTACGTATAGTTAGAGACATGAAAGATATGCAAATGTTCAATATGTGTGCCGTGCACGTGCGCGTATTGGAACAAGAACTAACGGCTTCTGATTTATTGGTATTATTTTATAATATACATATGTCAGTGATACAACAAGTACATAGAAATACACAGAAGAACAACAAAAAAAAATACACATTTTATGTGAGGGGAAACAATAAAAATATTCATGCAATCAACCGTTCGAGAAAGTACAACTGCAAATTCTATGCATTTTTTTTTTCTTCAATGCAGTTTGCATTTATGAAAGATTCTCCCTTTCGAATTACGTGAATGATATTTTACCGGCCATGTAAGCAAACATTTCATGTTCACATAATCACGAAACATTTTTTTGTAAAGTTTTATACTTCACATAAGAAATATGGCAATAAGTGAAAAAGAAGTTGATATAACTACTAACCAGGATGCTCATTTTTTCGTTTGTGGTTTAAATATTTATAACAACAATACTCATGTGAAAACTGAAATCTATTGTATACCAAATCTTATTGTGCGGTTTGATAATTCATAAAATGTCAACAAAAACTTAGTCACGTAGAGCTAGAGCGGGGTGAACGTATAGAAAATAATAATGGCAAAACCATTCGAAATTAGATCAGCTCGAATTTTCAGTTTAGGGTAAATTTGATTGGTATATCATTTTCTCGTCTTAAGTTCAAAAAAAAAAAACCATTCGAATCCCGAAAGTTACTTATATGCTTGCAAAAATTTCAACTAAAGGTTAAAAAAAAGAAAAAAAAAGATAGAAGATTTCAACTAAAAATCATCAATCAATGTTTCTACTTTTCCATAGAATTGGTTTACAATAATAAATTAAATTTATTGATTAATAAATTTCACAATCCAACAATATTAGATTCGGTGAGATTACATTAATTAAGTGCATTATGTACGAGCTTAAAGCAGTATCAGTTCATTAATTAATTTTGAACGTTATAAGTTTATAACTCTGTAAACACGGTTTGATAAGAAATTTTTTTGTCATTTTGTTCATGTTTCTAACGGGAACTCTCTGCATGATGTAAGTTGTTATAGATTTAAGCAATATCACTTCATTAATTATCCTTTAACGTTATAAAATCTGTGAGCACGGTTTGATGACCAATCAATTTGACAATCTGCCACTTTGTTCATGTTTCAACGGGGAGCTCTTTGGTTGAAATGTACGACCAGATCATCAGTAACCCCCGATTTCTAAACTGTATAAACCTTTAATTAATTACAACAAATAAAAACACAAGACTTTTAGAAAAATAAGTAAATCTTTATATTCCTTCAATTGATGTGAATGTGATTCCACTTAAATACTTAATTACCAGCATCAGGCACGGTGTTCAGAAACCTTTTAATTGATAATAAAATGTCCTGTAATGTTAAATCACGTGGCATATTATCTGACGTGTTATTGCTGACGTGTCGTAACTCTACCTCCAACCCTTTTTAAACCCTTCACTCTCGAGCGTCGAACACCAAACAGTGCTTTCTCTCTCTCTTAGACCGAAAAAAAGAAATTTCAAATCTTTGTTTCTCTATCTCTCTCTAGAAAAGAAAAAAAAATCAAATCTTTATTTGTCTCTCTCACTCACTCTTTCACACTCTCAAAAGAGTCATCTTCTTCAATCGTAAGAAGAGAAAAGACCGATCAGCTACAGCTTCCTGCGAGGAAGAACAAATGGCGGACAATGTTCTGAGGAAGCTGATTGTAGAGATCTGTAACGCTAGGAATCTGATGCCCAAAGATGGGCAAGGAACGGCGAGCGCCTACGCAATCGTCGATTTCGACGGCCAACGGCGGCGGACGAAAACCAAATTCCGGGATCTGAATCCTCAGTGGGATGAGAAGCTGGAGTTTTTCGTCCACGACGCGGCGACTATGGGGGAGGAGATCCTTGAGATCAATCTGTGCAACGACAAGAAGACAGGAAAGAGGAGCACATTTCTCGGGAAAGTTAAGATTGCCGGAAACGCATTCGCGGCGGCCGGATCTGAAACTCTTGTTTATTACCCGCTTGAGAAAAGGAGCGTTTTTTCTCAAATCAAGGGTGAGATCGGATTAAAGGCCTACTACGTCGATGAGAACCCACCGGCGGCGCCAGCAGCAACGGAGCAGAAATCTGAGGCGGAAGGTCAGGCTGCCCCGCCGGCGGAAGAGAAGGCGCCGGAGAATCCAAAAGCAGAGGAGGGGAAGAAAGAGGCAGAGGCGGCGAAAACAGAGGAGAAGAAGGAAGGTGATAAAAAAGAGGAGGAGAAACCGAAGGAAGAAGCTAAACCGGAGGAGAAAAAAACCGATGCAGCAGCTCCGCCGGCTCCGGATACCAACAAAAAGCCGCCTGATGCCGCGGCAACTCCC